TATAGAGTACAGTAGTACAGTATCTTTATTTCAAGTCCAGGATATCCAAAAGCAAGGGTAAACGCAGCAGTGATGTACCTGGTACTGCTAAGAAGCGCCAAGCGATAATGATAGAAACAAAAGTAAGAAGAATTAAGAGAGTGAAGCAAGGCAAAAAGATGGTAGACATCTCTCATTCTTATAACATGAATCGTTCAACCATTAGCATGATTCTAAAGTACATAGACAAGATCATGGAACATGTGAAATCTGCTGTGCTGATAATGTTGACAACAATATTGAAGAAGCATGGAAAAGTGATGGAGGAGATGGAGAAATTTCTCAGTGTGTGGATGCAGGATCAGCATCAGTGTCAAATCTGCTCAGCTTAATGCTGATTCCAGAGAAAGCTAAAAGTCTTTATGAAGACTTGAAGAAGAAATATGGCAAACAATTAGAGGGCACATCTTTTAATGCCAGCCATGGCTGGTTTCATCAGTCCAAGGCTAGAGTCAATCTTCACAACATAAAAGTAATTGGTGACGCAGCAAGTGCAGATATGACAGCTGTCTGGGAATTTCCTGAAATGCTTTGAGAAATTATTGATGAAGATGCTAATATTTATCCAAGCAGGTTTTTAATGTGGATGAGACAGGACTGTATTGGAAGAGAATGCCAGACCAAAGTTACATCAGTAAGGAGGAAAAATGGATGCCAGGCTATAAAGCAGCAAAGGATAAGCTAACTCTGTTGTTTGGTGGCAATGCTTCTGGCAATATGAAGTTAAAGCCTCTCTTAGTTTATCATTCAGAGAACCCAAGAGTCCTAAAAACATAGCCAAGGCCTCTCTTCCTGTTATGTGGAAGAGTAACCCCAAAGCATGAGTTACACATACCATTTTCCAGGACTGAATTTTTTCACCACTTTATCCCAGAGGTAGAAAAATGTTGCTGAGAGGTATGTCACATTCAACATCCTTTGCTACTCAATTGTGCTCCAGGTCACCCCCCAAACATGGATGACTTTCATCCTAACATCAAAGTAGTGCATCTGTCACCCAATACTACATGGTTCACCCAACCTATGGACCAGGGGATCATAGCGACTTTCAAGAAATATTATTTACATCACACTTTTCATCAGGCAGTAAAGATGAGTTGACAAATCAGGAGCACCTTGCAACAATTTTGGAAGAACTATAACATCTACAAGGTCATAAAAAACATTGACTTTGCTTGGTGTGAGGTTACAGCTGTCATCATAAATGGGATTTGGAAATGTTGCCTGCAGTTTGTTCACGATTTTTGTGGATTTGAGAAGGTGAATGAGGAGTCCAAAGAAGTCTTCAGCAACTCAGTGACCCTCAGTGAGAAGCTGGAACTAGATATGCAAGAAGACAACTTCACTGAACTCCTTGCTGTGCATCACAAGGAGCTTAGTCATGAAGACCTGGTGGAATCGGAGGCCCAGAGAAAGGACGAAGAAAGACAAGAGGAAGAAGTGGTAACTGAATCCCAAAGAGATTCACAACACAGGAAATGGCAAGGGGATTTTATTTGAGGAGGTACTGTTAGTGTCTGAGGAACAGGATCTGAATGTAGAATGGTACTCGATGGTTGCAGTAGCCATTCAGAATGCAATCCAGCGCTACCACGTCATCTATAACAAGAAAAAAAGAGCTACTACCCAGACATCACTGAATCATTTTTCCAAAAGGGTAAATAGAATTAAACCCAGCAAGAAACCAGAACCTGTGTCATCAACGTCAGGTAGGAGTGAAATTGCAGCTTGCCCTCCATCTCCTATTCCTGGTGATCCTTCAGCTCTACCATCTCCCACTTTCTCTCCCTCCTCCAGTCGGTAACTCTTCTTGCCTGTTCACTCAATGCTATTGCCTGTATACCAACTGCTGTACTGTACTATTGTACTTTTACTGTATGTAAGATTTAAAATGCTTTATTTTTTGTTTTTATAATGTATTATTTGTGTAAAAAGTATTATAAACCTGTTACAGTACAGTGCCACATAGCCAATTGTGTTAGTTGGGTATCAAGGCTAACTTTGTTGAACTTGCTCATATATAGGGGACTTACTGTATTGCTTTTACATCCATTCTGACAATTTTCCTACTCTGTCGCCCAGGCTAGAGTGCAGTGGCATGATCACAACTCACTGCAGCTTGAACTCCTGGGCTCAAGTGATCCTCCTGCCTCAGCCTCCCAAGTAGCAAGAACTACAGGTGCATGCCACCATGCCTAACTTGATTTAACTTAAAATCTATTGTCTTGTTATTATTTGTTACGTTCCATCTTTTCTTGTTAGTATTCTTCTTTTCCCTCTTTCCTGCCTTCTTCTTCTCCCCCTTTCCTGCCACCTTCTTCTGTCACCACCCTCTCTCACCTGGATAATTACATATAGTAGCCTCCTAACAGGTCTCCTTGCCTCTACCCTAATTCCTTACCCCTAAACTAGGCTTAGCACAGCAGCAGCCTTATCCTAATTGTTTCTGGGTAGACCAACTATTACAATGATTTTAAGACCCTGTAATACATACGCCCCCATTACCTCTCTGACCTCATTTTCTACTATTATCCCCCTCACTTATTCCATTTCAGTCACACTGGTCTCTTATTCTTCCTTGAACATCCCAGACACACTCCCATCTCAGGGCCTTTGTACTTGCTATTCCCTCTTTCTATTATACCTTTCCCTACCTCCCTTACTTAGGTCAAGTTTTTAAGCAAATATTACTTATCCCCTAACTACCTATAGTAGGCAGGATAATGGCCTCCCAAAAACATCTATGACCTAACCTCTGGAACCTGTGAATATGCTGCATTACATGGCAAACAGGAATTAAGGTTGCTAATCAACTGACTTTATAATAGGGAGATTATACTGGACTATCCAGATTTGGGGCTACATATCATTTAAGCCACTCAAGGTCCAGAAAAGACAGAGAGGGAGATGCGACTACAGAAGAATGGGCAGAGAGACGAAAAGCTGCTGGCTGTGAAGATGGAGGAAGGGACTCACAAGCCAAGAAGCGTGAGCAGCATTCAGAAATGAAAAAGGCAGCTATGCGCGGTGGCTCAACCCTATAATTACAGCACTTTGGGAGACCGTGGTGACAGGATTGCCTGAGCCCACAGGTTTGAGACCAGCACAGGCAACTTGGCAAGACCTCAGCTTTACAATAAATCAAAAATTAGCCAGGTGTGGTGGTGAGTGCCTACAGTTCCAGCTACTTCAAAGCTGCGGCAGAAGGATCGCTGGAGCCCAGCAGGTCGAGGCTGCGTTGGCCATGAGTGTGCCGCTGCACTCCAGTAGAGGTAACAGTGAGACTCCAAAAAAAGGAAGAAATGGAAAAGTCAAAACAGATTATCCCTAGAGCCACCATAAATGAACACAGTCCTACCAATGTCTTGATTTTAGCCCACTGAGACAAATTTCAAACTTCTGACCTTTAGATTTGTAAGAGAATACATTTATATTGTGTGGAGCAATCAATTGTCTGGACAGTGCCTCTTTCCCCCCACATCTGGCTTCTTTCTGCCCCTTTCCCAAGGGAACAGCCTCTGGACAAGGCTGGTCTCTGTAGGATATGCATATTCCCTATAGTGAGTCATGGGGTTAATTGTCACAAGATGCAGGTAACCAAGCAACCTAAGGACAATGCAGTTGTTACTCTTAATCAATGTGATTGAAAACAGTGTATAGAAATTTGAGTAATTAACTTGCTCAAATATAAAACTGTTTGCTGTGCTATCCCTCAGGGTAAAGATTCTTTCCTCATCCCCGACTGGCTGCCATCAGTGACCCTTTCATAAGCGTAATAAGCCAATGTCTCTCCCTGCTGGACCGCTGGGTGTCTTCTTTAGAATAGGTAAACATTATGTGCAAGCCCTCACAGATTTGGGGATACTACGTTACATACCATTTAAGCCACTTTTATGTTTGTGGTCATTTGTTATGGCAGCAATAGCAAACTAACACACTACTTCATTTAAAACTATAAACCTTCACCTCCCCACCCACTTTTGTTGCTTGCTTTTTTTCCTTCACAAAATGTATTACCTTCTAACAAACTTTATAATTTAGCTATTTTGTTTATAAATGTAAACTCTGCAAACACACGTAAGTCCATAAAGGCAGGATTATCTATTTTGCTCACTATTTTTCAGAGTCTGGTACAAGTTTAGGTGCGCAAATATTTCAAAAGACATTTGATGGGATCATAAACATATGGATACATATGAAGAAGTATGCTAAGGATAATGTTGCTGGTGATAAGAATGCTATTAACCTTAAAGAAAAACTTGAAATAATCAGTGGATGCTTGTATTTAATAGCATCTTGATTTATAGCTATGTATTAGCATCTCTCAAAACACCTTTATTATTCAGTATTCATTTTCTTCCCAAATGCAACAGCTCTTTTTTGAATCGATCCTCACTCTGTCACCCAGTCTGAAGTGCAGTGGTACGATCACAGTTCACCGCAGCCTCAAACTCCCAGGCTCAAGCAATCCTCCCTCCTCAGCCTCCAAAGTAACTGGGGCTACAGGCATGCACCCCCACACCTGGCTCATTTTTTATTTTTTGTAGAGACAGGGGTCTCACTACATTGTCAAGGTTGGTCTCGAACTCCTGGACTCAAGCAATCCTTCTGCCTCTGCCTCCCAGAGTGCTGGGATCCCAGGCATGAGCCACCACACCCATTTGCCACATTTTTTTTCACTTACACAATTTTTAATCATTCGGGAGACAATTCAAGCATTATTAATCATAGAACTATTTTAAATTCTTGATTTTTTTAGTAAAATACCCCATCTTACCTATAAATTCAGAGAAAGAATCAATATACAAAGTATTTCCTTCCTGAAGAAAGTTACTGACATTTGAGAAAATCTCCAAGTTTGAAATATAAAAGGAAAAATGTTGGCAACTGTCAACCTAGGTCTTATATTATCTTCATCCAAAGAACAGAGAATAATCTTTTACTGTTCAAAAGTTGCTTACCTGTTCCTGGAGTTGAAATTCCAACAAGAGGACTCTGCATTACTGAAATGTTTGGCTACACAAAAAAACATAAAGTGTTAAGGTAAAAATGCAACATTCTAACCGTAGCATAAACACAGTGTTATACAATATTTGAAATAACAGAGATAATGATAATTTTTCAATCACCAAGTTCACATTGAAAATCAGAAAGATGACAAAATTGTATTTTTAAACAGTTACAAACCATGAAATGCTACAGATTTAAATCAGTCTACAAAATAAGAGACAGCATACTCCTACCAATACCGGTAAAAAGTTCTAAAGCTGGAAAATGATCAATACTATAAATATAAGAAAATTAAAGTTAAAAATCCTTCTACAAAGACAATATTCAATCAAAAAATGAGAACAGGCTTTCTGTTGAAGTAAATGTATATAAATTTTCAAAAGCAGATTCCGATTAAACTAAGAAAACCTAAAATCTAGGTTCATCTAGCAACCAGAACTAAACACTGAAAGAATGTTAGGAGAGATACAAAATTTACTGCTCAATGTTTAATGCCAACTTCTTTCATGTTCAGAGGTTAAGTCCAGTCTCTGGGGACATAACTAATATGCACTCTAATTCAGCAATAATATTCTTACTGTCTTTCAAGTTAAAAAACATTCTCTATATATTCTGATCCATGAACCTTCTATACATTTTGAATACAGAAATAACTATAAAACATCTTTTTCTATATCAAAGAAGTAATGAGAACTAGCAAAAATTTAGAAGCCAGTTATTCTCAACCAAACTAAACAACATCTTATCAACTTTCAGAAAACCATCTCAGACAAGGATATCTACCTATTAGGAATGTAACACATGCCATAATCATAATTTTAAATTTTCTACTAGGCACATAAAAAAGTACAAACATACCGGGCTCAGTGGCTCAGCCTGTAATCTTGCGCCTTTGGGAGACTGAGGTGAGTGGATTGCCTGAGCCCGCGGGTTCAAGACCCACCTGGGCAGGGGAGACCTCATCTCTACAATAAAATCAAAAAATTAGCCAGGCGTGGTAGCACGCGCCTGTAATTCCGGCTACTCAGAAGGCTGAGGTGGAAGGATTACCAGAGCCCAGCTCGTCGAGGCTGCGGTGGCCGGGAGCGGCCAATGCACTCCAGTCTGGGTGACAGAGTGAGACTCTAACTCAAAAAAAAGTACAAACGTGTAAAATCTAGTTTATTTAGCCTAAAATATTATTACAAAATATTATTTCCATATGTAACCAATATGGAGAAATGAGATACTTTACAGTCTAAGTCTTCAAAATCTGGTGTGTAATTCACACTTAAAGTATATCTCAATTAGGACTAGCCACATTTCAAGTATCAATAGCCACACCTGGCTAGTGGCTACTATTAGACAGATGGGCAGGTCTAGAAGTGTTGGAAAGAAAAGATAATCTATTTAACATAATAGATGAATTTTGCTTTGTAGGTAGGCCCAGTATACCAGAAATATCAAGCCTATATATAGGTGGTCCAAATTCACTGAAAGATGTTTTCTAATACTCTTTTTATTTTTTTGGAGTCAGGCTCTCACTATGTTGACCAGGCTGGAGTTCAGTGGCACAGTCATGGTTCAACATAGCCTCAACCTCCCAGGTTCAGGCAAGCCTATCTCCTCAGCCTCCCAAAGTGCTGGGATTATAGACATGAGCCACCATGACCAGTCATCTTTCTAGTATTCTTAACTTCTCAAACAAATTGAGTAAGGGAAAAGCCCAAAACATTTAACCAAATTAAATGGCAGGAATATCTTTATACAATGAATTTATCAATTTAACTAACAGACTTTGTCTACATGGCCTACTAAGCACAATGATGGTGGGAAAGAACACTTGTGACTATAAAGCTACTAAATTCCCTACTTAAAATCCATATTACATTTCAACTGACAATCAAGAGTTAGAGTCTCACTCTGTCGCCCAGACTGGAGTGCAGTGGCCGCTCCCGGCCACCGCAGCCTTGACCTGCTGGGCTCCGGCAATCCTTCCGCCTCAGCCTTCCAAGTAGCTGGAATTACAGGTGCGCGCTACCATGCCCAGCTAATTTTTTGATTTATTGTAGAGATGAGATCTCACCAAGTTGCCCAGGCGGGTCTTGAACCTGTGGGCTCAGGCAATCCACTCACCTCAGCCTCCCAAGAACACTGGTTCTTGATTCAAGACTTTCTAGGTTTGAAGCCGGCTCTGCTATGGACTAGCTGCAAACTACTTTGACAAACTGCTTAACCTTTCTGTGTCCTAGTTTTGTCAGTGATAAAATGAAGCTCCTAACAGCAACCTCAAAGATTCAGTGTAACAATTAGATGAGATAATACATTAGAAATTATAAGATCAGGGACTGTACACAGTAAGTACTTAAGTATTAGACATTTTTTTGTGCCTGTCAACCCCATCAAAACAGAAAATATCTGCATGCCTGTATCCCAGCTACTCAGAAGGCTGACACAGGATGATCGCCTAGACCAGGAAGTCGAGGTTGTAGTGAGATGTGATCATGCCACTTAACTCCAGCCTGAACGAGATTGAGACCTTGACTTAAAAATAAAAAAACTAGAGAATCTCTACCTTGAATATAACACAAGACTGAAAAGAACACCAAAACTTACCACCACCTCAGAACACCTATACTAGAAACAAAATAAATAATAAGTACATAAATATGCAAAAGGAAGCTTTTTTAGCAAGATGAGCAAATAGTAAATATAACTCTAAAAGGATATTGGTGTTATGCTAATAAAATCATTCATAAAACAAAAAGATCTCAAATCATTACCAACTGCCCAAAATCTGGATAAAAACCTGAATCTTTATTGGTTCTTTCACAAAATTATATCTAAAGATTAAACTTCTTAAACAACTGAAATGACTTGAACCATAATTACTTTCCACATGTATATTAAGTAGGTTGGAGGCATGGGCAGGGATATAAGGCATACTTGTAATAACCTCAGAATTAACTATTGGAGAAAACAATTCAAAGTTCTACACTTTTACATACATTTCATGATAAACACAATCTAAACAGATTCTATGATAAATGTGTTTAATGCTTACTCTGTGCAACATACATTGAAATAGACGTCAGGAAAACCTTTCAGGGAAACCCTCATAGTATAGCCACATGAAAACATGACCTTATTCATTGTAGGTCACAAGGGTATACAGATCACCTGTCTTCTTGAAGCTAAGGGTGATGATCCAAGTCCTGGGCTGGAAATGTCATCATATATACTTCTAACTGGTGGAGCGCCACTTTTATCTTTATGAGCAGGGACAACTGGTTGTGGTGGTGACCCACCTGCGATGTACAAAAAAAACATAGTGAAGTGAGAAAACAAAGGAATCTTCCATCTTTCTAGTAAGATTTTTTTAATTTATATTTTTGAAATATTGACTTAAACTGCTGTCTCCTCATTCTTTTCACACTTTAATATGCTCAAGAGTCACTTAGGGATCTTGTTAAAATGCAGACTCTGATTCAGAAGGTGTGGGGTGAAACCTGAGATTATGCAGTTCTAACAAGCTCCCAGATGACACCAATGCTGCTGATCCACAGATCACACTTCGAATGAAAGGTTTCAGCATAAGTAGTTAATGGAAATTTTAGTTTTTAGAAAACCCATGTAACTTTTGCTTTCTCTACAAAATGCTTAACAATTCAATACAAAACTTGACCCCATTTTTCACTTGAATGTAGGTATTAAGAAACTCTAGTCTGTAGATACCTAAATAAATATAATTCCTTAGTGTGGAGTTTGACTATCAAGATTAAATAGATTCCATTCAGGTTTCCCACAGTAAAAATATATTTAAGTACATAAAAATGATGCAGAAAAAGGACTAACTTTTGTGACAAAGATGTCTTCATAAATCAAAGAACCTGCAATGTCAAATGGTAATGTAGCCCAGAACCTGTTTAAGTCTAATGTTTGAGCCTGAGCAGTACAGCATAAGATATGGAATGAGACTGACCAGGGCTTTATCAAGTTGTCACTTTACTAACAAGTGAGCTTCAGCAAAGCATTTATTGCACTTAGCCTCAGTTTCCTCTTCTGAAAAACCTATCCTTTAAGACTGACAAAATAATGAAATAACATATATACGCAAAATGGTTAGCATACTATCTGGTTCATAAACACTCAATATATGATAGTTACTATAATAAAATAAAACATTTGAAATTTTTAAAAACTGTCCAGAAAATGTTAAGTGAATTTCTTCAAATATAATTTCTGATAACTTTCCATGACCAATCCTAAGAAAAAGAAGATAATAAATCAGTCACTTTAAACCAAATAATACTTTAAGGGCAATTAAAATAAAAAGAATTTCCAGTTAAACATCTATTGAAAGGAGATTAGTTCACAATTAGAATTTGACCACTTCTGTAGCTAATTATCTTTACCCACAGTTAAAATTTCAAAGTTATTTTAAAATATATCTTTGCTAAATGAGTCTTGTAATATATACAAGCTGCAACTGTTACAATACTTTGTGTTGGCAATTGCAAATTCTGTATAAAAAAAAAAAAACTTCCCCCAGTTTTCAAAGTCCTTTCACTAGCTAGGAATTATGAGAATCTCTATTCACTAAGACTAGAAGTAGAATTCTTATCTACAAATTTTCAAATTACACTTCTTTCAACTAATTATTTGCTAGTCTTGTATCTTTTTTTTTTTTTACTCTGTTTAGTTCTAAATAAGAACAAAAGAACTTTTGGAGTTTGGAGTACAGAACCTAAAGAATCAGGAAATCAAGTTAAGGGCTTAACTCCCTTCTTGGCCCCTCCCGTTGTGTCTTCAGAACCCAAGTGGTCGGCAGAGCCCCTTCAGTCCTATCCTTTCAAGTGGGCAAGGATATAACAATGTTCTTGAGAAGTCCCCCAACTTCTTGGGAGAAAATTGGCTCCTCAGAGTTGTACCTCTTGCTTCAGGTCATTTGCACGAGAACAGATTCCTCTGTGCAAAGCTGGCCTGCTTGTTCCCTGTCTGCTTCTAGTCCTCAGGCCTTCCTGTTGGGTTGCTAGGCAGATACGGTCCTGGCTTGCAAATAAGCTCACTGCATTTACTAGCCTGTGAGAACTTCAACTTGGGTAAGTGGATTGAAAGGAATCTGGTCTGTAGCTCAGAGCAGAGGGTCTCCAAAGCCTGCTTTTGGGGGCTGGGTCTTCAGGGTGGCCACTAAAGAAGGGAGATATGTGAGGGGGCTTCTGTGGGAGGTCCAGATTGCCCTTCTGTGTTTGTTCCACTACCTAACTCCCACCCAAAGGAACTGTATTCCACCGAAGCAAAGTATTGCTTTGAAACTTTTTAACATTTGCTCAAATTGGCGAAGACTCTCATCAACTCCACTACCCAGGAACCTTTCAGATAGTCCAGGTAGCTGGGCTGGGCTTCTTTTGTGTTTTAGGGTCCTCCCCCCTCTGCAGCACTGCCCCCCACCCCACCCCCGTATTTGAGTTGGTAGGAAGGCAGGGCCCTTCTAACAGTTGGGAATGCTGGGCCTGGAGATTACAGATTTGCACGAATAGTGATAATAGTGACAATGATGATACCATGGAGTTGTTAACTGAGTTAAAGCATGTGAAGGGCTCACTCTGTGACTCCTAGGGGATTAAGGAGACAGAGATCAGGGTGCCTTCAGCAAGCAGGGAGGGCCTTGGCAGGACTGACAAGGGGGGTGAGCCCAGGCAAGGGTGTGCAGCAGGAGAGGAGGGCCATAGGTGGCTGAAGGTGGGCTGCACGTGGTGACAATGACGCCGCTTTCCGCCCTGCCACGGGGCATGTTGTGCTCCAATTTCCCCCATGCCAGGTCACTGTTCTGTGCTGGTTCCTCAGATCACTGGATATGTCTCACTGTCTCTGGAGTAACTTTTCCTTGATTTCAACAATGATTTTGTTCCCAGACTTCTCAACTGCACCTGTACTCCTGCTTCTCACTGCTTAAACATAGCCTCGGGGAGATTTCTATAAAGTGTCTCAAGTCTGTTGCAAAAGTCCAAGAAAACAAACTCCAAATCTCAGAACAAAGTCATGTTAATCACATTGCATTTAGGAGTAGGTGTTTGTCATATTAAACTTTATGCCAGGGTTGTGGATGAAATTGAGCTGGAAATGTCGGGGAGAGCTGTTCACTGGCTGCTAGGCTTTGCCCCATGAAGTCTAGCTTGCTTCAGGTGGTCTTGGAGTTGCTCTCTCTGCCATTTTCCTCCAGGCCCAGGAATCAAAACCTGCTCTCCTGCTGTCTCTTGCCTCAAGGGAGATGCTTGCTTTCCCCATCTTGTCTAAACATGCATTGCCTGACCTGCTTCTGGGTTCAGATCCGGAGGCTTGAGAGTCCAAGATCAAGGTGCTGGACAATGTGGTGCCTGTGAGGGCTCTCTTTCTGGCTGGCAGACAGCTGCCTTTTTGCCGGGTCCTCACATAGTGGTGGTGCGGGGGAGAATGGGGTGAGAGGGTGAGAGGACGGAGGGAGGGAGACAGAGTGCTAGCCTTATATTTTTAAGATGAATTATATAAAATGAAAACAGTTGAAGCTCAATGACTTTATTTCACCAATTCTAAAAGGCTCTCTTTCCCTCCACACTTTAACATCTCTGAAGCAGAAATATATTTTACAAAAAAAGGCATCTTAGCATTGTGTCATATTTAATGTTTTTCTTTCCTAGTGACACTTAATGGTGAGATTTACAATCAAAGGTACCTAGGATGAATGAAACGTAGAATACATTTTTTAAATGAGTGGCTTTTGAAGTTATAGTAGCATATATTTATAGTTCTATTCTCAGAGTCTTAAAATAAAGGCTTTGCTTTATAATAGAGGCACTGCTGAATTTTATAATAGATGTGTGGATGAGGATGAATCCTGTACCATTACTCTTTTTAAAAATCTAGTATGTGTATTGATATTACTATAAGAACTATTTTAAGCAATTCACCTACCTGCAAGTAAAGGTGATCTCATCTCCATTACTCCTACTGAAGGGCCACTAATTGATCGAGGTTGTGGAGTCACTGGAGCTGGCAAATCCCCCATTAAAAATCCAGGTAAGAACTGAGCATTAACTCCTTGCTTTGGAGATGTGGGTGAACCCAGCATCATTGGTTCAGATCCTAAGTGAATTAAAAGATAAAACAAAACAGATGAAGAGCTTTTTGTTATAATATCTAATAAAAAGATACAAGAATCTAGCATAAATATGAGAATTTAGTAAAAGCTTATATTATAGAACTTTTTTAATTTACTACCTTAAAAGCCATCAAAAATTATTCTAGAAAAATGTAAAATTACCTTGTAGTCAAAAGATTCATCTTCGATAGCTCTTTTTGTTTACATTAGTTCAAGGGTTTAAAAATCAGCACTTATTAGGCTGGGCGTGGTGGCTTATGCCTATAATCCCAGCTCTTTGGGAGGCCAAGGTAAGAGGATTGCCTTAGCCCACGGGTTCGAGACCAGCTTGGGTAACTTGGCGAGACCTCACTTTTAAAAACAAAAAAAACAAAAAAAACCCACTACTTATTAATTTAAAAAATTTAGAGTATCTAAAAAACTAACTCATTTCATTTCATTTCTGGGTCAGTTTCTACAATGTAACAGTCTTATAATAACAAGGACAGTTGGCACTAGTTACTTACATAAAGTCTTAGCAAATCAAACACAATGAGTTTAGTTTGTTAAATGTCCCATTTCTTATTCCTCATACATAAAAACAGTGAATAATTTATCTTGTGATAAAAGAGTAATCATTCATATATTACAGCATTTATGAAATAATAGTGATAACTAGCAACCTAACTCAAAAACACATTGAAAAGCGTTAGAAAATTTACTTTGGGGTTATTTTAAAAAATAATTTGTTTTAAAGTTAAGAATAATCAATAAATTTCGCCCTAATATAAAACCAATTTAAAGGGCAAACTCACAATTTTCCACTAAAATGAATCTTCACAGTTTACAGGGTAGATATTACTATTCCCCTTATGAAGATGAGGAAGCTATATAATTTCAAAGCAAAATAGCTCAGTAAGAAAAACGTGAGCTATAGAGTCAGAGATGTAGGTTCAAGTTCTCTTGGCAAAATAGGCATAAGCGCAGCATTCACTAACACAGCATTTACTAGAATTATAGCAAGTTCAGCACTTGACCTGGTATACAATAATTGCTCAATAAATAATTATTATGCTACAGTATCTTTAAAAAAATTAATGTATTTATTTGAGTTGAAGTCTCACTTTGTCACCCAGGCTGGAATATAGTGGCAAGATGATGGCTTACTGCAGCCTTGACCTCCTGGGCTCAAGTGATCCTTCCGCCTCAGCCTCCTGAGTAGCTGGGACAACAGGAGCGTACCCGACCAGCAAAATTTTTGTATTTTTTGTAGAGACTAGATCTTGCTATGTTGCCCAGGTTGGTCTTGAACTCCTGGGTTAAGGCAATTCTCCGCTGCCACCTCCCAAAATACTGGGATTACAAGCATGAACCAGTGCACCCAGCCTTACAGTATCTTATAATAGCAAAACGGAGTAATTAATGTGTAAACATGGAATCTGTAATCTCTGCTTATGAAAAAATTTTCAGCCAGGTGACAAGCCTGAGTTTGAGTCATGGCACTCACAAATGTCAAATATTTGCTATGTTATTTATATGGTTTTTATTCGCTATTACTAAAATTCCCAATAGCCTCAAAAATTTATTTCTTGCTATCCAAAAGCTGACAATTATTTATCCTTTCTCTTAGTCCCCAGTATGTAGACCTAGATATTAACAACAGAAGTGTATTAGAGGAAAAAAGCAATGTAATTCAGGAAAAGTATAAAACAAATACTGAAATAAGATGTGAAAATCTATAACTACATTGTAATTACTTTAAAAGGGCACTACCACATTATTTTCAAAGAACATACACTAACATCAAACTAAAAGTCTAAACAAAAGCATATTCTGGGCAGATACCTGAGAATCGCAGTTAAAGGGGTAAAGAGTAACTTAAAAGATGGAGTCGCTTTAGTTAAGAAGCAGTCATTTTTAACTGAGTTTTTCCTTTTTCTTCACAAGCTAGTTTTCTTCGCTGATTAGTTTTTATGCTGTACACACACCTCATCCTCTAATCATTAGCCAAAGACAAATCCAGCCAGAAATAGCTACTGATACTTGTTTTGTACCTTTTAAGTATATTTTACACTAATAATTCTTTTATTCTAAATATTTGTTTCCCAGCAATGCAAGGCCAAGATAACCTCACCTACTGTGATCAGCTCCCCCCTCCTCCCACTATCCACCAGCCCACCACCTAGAGTCACAAGACTAATTGCCTGAACAGAAAAGGGAGCACGAAGGGTGTTAGCAACACCCAAGAATGCAGCTGCTGAAGATTTTTTACCAGCCCTGCTTCCTTCCATCCAGGCTTGCCTGTTAGCATTGTCCCCTTTCTGTCTATGGAAAGTGGATAATAAACTTTGTCTCCTTTTTGGAAATTTTGGTTTATTCACGTAGCACCGACCTACCTTGCTTCAGTTTATCTTTACAATAGTAATAAATGCAAAGTCTGGGGTAACACTGCCAACTACCTTACCTCTCCTTTCCCCCAGAAGAGAAAGTATAATGACAACTAAAATAAGAGTTAGTTAAGGAAAGTTCTCATGTATCTGGCAAGTAGAAAGCACCAGAGAGATGAGAACACAATGGGCTCTAAATCCAGACTGTCACCAACTACCTCAGACTAAATTCCACTTAAAGAGATTAATCAATGGATACTGTATGTCCTTCACAGTCTATGCCCCTAAACAATAAGTGTTTAGCTAGCACAATTTGTTGAAGCAAACCCTTAGTTTTATACACCAGTAGGTACCTGGAATATCTGCAATATGTGGACTTGAACAATACTGGCTAATGGCAGACTATTGACCAGGCAAAAAAATATAGAGAGATCTGTAAATATGAGGCTATATAAGCCAATATATTCGTTTACTCACACTAGTAGCCCCAATAAATATGCACTGGAAGAGTTTTCTCATCTCATTTAAAACTGGAAGAGTTGTCTCATCTCTAAAATATAGGAAAATACTTAGAACGACATATATACATAAGAAGCAGAGTACATGCATTGCTGACGTTATGCATTTAGTTTTTTTTATACATACTAAAGCAGTTCAAATGACTATTATGAAATGGAACTTAGTTTACCCAAAACCTGGTAAGCACTACATGTCCTTCAAATATAAAAAAATCATTCAACACAATATAGGTTACGCTTGCTCTCTTTTCCAAAAAGCTATAGCTTAATTTTCAGGTAAATCTATGACAGCAGACTATTTTCTGTTCTAAAATGTACGACGGCTCTCACAAGTCACAAAACTCAGAAGGGAAAACAAAGGAATCAACATGCTGTTAACTTGGTAGATTGTTTTTTCAATGACAACACATTTCAACAAGCCTCCTCAATAAATGGAAATGAATACTTAAACGTCAGATCGTATTTGATTAGAGAAAAACACCTCCTACGAGACAAAAGCAGGAAAAATCTTGAGAACTCCTAGCTTGCTACTAAGGCCAACATCTCAATAATACCACCACCTGGTTGATTAAATGTCACACGATTTAAGTTTCCATTAATAACAGATTCCTTGTGCAAAGCCCAGGAGAGGGAAGAAACCAAAACAGGAACTAGAAGCACAGGTGACCAAGAAGCAGCGGACTGTAACCACACAGTCCAGGGCACCGCCCACCCACGTGTACGCCGGTCAGTTCCTCCCTAAGGACGCTTCCGGAGATCCCGGAACCCAGCAGCCCGGCAACGGCTCTGGGCGTTGGAGGGAGTAGGCGATATGGACCAGTCTAGTGTGGCAAGCAAACACCACCAAGGCCGTTTCTTTACCCCTGCAGGGCCCACAGTCTCCCGGGGCCGCCATGGTATCAGCAGGGTGGCGACGCCTCGAGCGGGGTACCGACAAGGAACCAGGGGCTCCCTCTCCGCAACCGAAACCAGCAGATGAGCACCTGACAACTGCCTTTCAGTCTTGCTTACTGCCAGCCTAGAGCACGAATGGCAGTACCAGCAAGATACTGTCGTTTTTCACTCACCCAACGTCGGAGCCTGAGGTTCCACAGCAAAGGCTGCCATCGCGGCGGCAACTACCCTTATTCCGGTACCGTTCCGATTTTCAAAAATGGCGGAAACACTCCCCACGAGAAGAGGCGCGTTACCTTATGGGGCTACGTAACTTCCGGACATGCGCCTTATTGAAGTTGTGGACACCGGCGCCATTTTGGGATAGGGCAAATGTTCTGGGAATACTTTCGGTCACACTGTGAGTTTTCTGATTTGTTGGTACTTGAGCTTCATGAAAGTAGTTTTTTTTGTTCGCTGTTTCATAATTAGTATGAGTTTATCCAGTGCTCTGTCGGCTTTTCCGAGTAACACCTGGAAGGTTGGCTTGGTGAAACAACCGGGGCTTCCTTCCAATGTCGGTCTCTGGGCTTAGTGCACGACGTTTTTTTCTCAAAGCATATTTTCTACCATCTGTGTGCCATTTATTTTAAATTTCGTGTTATGTAGACACAATTTTACATCAAAGAATAACTCATATACGCTGTTTTATTACATGTTAATACATACAAAAGAATATAGCTAGCGAATGTGTAAGTACATATATAGGGGAAAATTATAACACTCATGCGCCCACCACGCCATGGAATCTTGTGTGCTCCTGCCTGTGCCATCCCTGCTGTCCACTTCCCCACACTTTGCTGCTTTTTCGGACATGTTCATTTGGATCACAAACACGTACTCAGTATATATGTGTCTGTAAAAATACGCTGTTTAGTTATGCTCGTTTACTAACTTTATAAAAATAATGTATATAATGTGGGATGTTCTGTAGTCTGCACCCTGCCTATTATGCCCAAAATATCCACCCATGCTCAGCTGTTTCCTCTGGGACTTCCTTAAATCTCAAATCCAGCAAGAATTTTGACATGGAAACGAGACAGTAAGAATTCCAGGCTTAGATGGCAGGTTCCCAGAAATCTAATTCTAAAATCACTCACAGATTGAATTTACTTTTTATAAATGGGTGTGTGAGAGTTGAATTGTGTCTCCCAAAAAGTTATGCTCAAGTCCTAACCCTCATACTTAGGAGTGCGATCTTGTTTGCAACTAGGGTCTTTGCAGATGTAATAAAGTTCAGGTAAAGTCGTGTTGGATTACCACAAACCACAAACCTAATAACATAAAACAACACAAACTTATCTCATGTTTCTTGAAGCCAGAAATCCAAAATGAGTATTAGAGTAAAATCAAGGTGTCAGCAAGGCTGGCTACATCTAGAGACTCCAAGGGAGAATCTGCTTCCTTCTTCTAGCTTCTAGAAGCTACGTGTATTCCTCAGCTTGTGGCATCTTCCTACCTCTCCAAAGCCAACAGTATAGCATCTTCTGTCTGTCTGGCACTGCTTCTCTCAGCTCTGTCATCACATGGCCTTGTAATTACATTTAGGGTTCACCCAAGTAATCCAAGATAATCTTCCTATTTCAATATCCAGTTGTGGAAATTAAGTTAATAATCACATCTGAAAAATACTTTTTGCCATGTAAGGTAATATTCACAGGTTCCAGAGTTTAGTTTGTGGATATCTTTGAGAACTATTATTAGTGCACAACACAAAAACCCACTTGTTAGAATTAAGCCACTAAGAAAGATTCATCAATGAAGAAATTTATATTCATATTACAATATAGCCAAACAAAAGAGCACAATGCACCTGTTAAAATGAACGATATACAGCTGGGCGTGGTGGCTCAAGTCTGTAATCCCAGCACTTTGGGAGGCTGAACCCACAAGTTCGAGAACAGACTGGGCAACTTGGTGAGATCTTACCTCTACAATAAAAAAATCAGAAAATTACCTATACACGGTAGCACACACCTGTAGTTCCGGCTACTTGGAAGGCTGAGGCAGGAGGATCGCCTGAGCCCAGCAGGTTGACGCTGGGGTGGCCATGAGCATGCCACTGCATTACAACCTGGGTGACAGAGTGAGATAACAACTCCAAAAAAAAAAAAAAAAATGAAATAGATTTGATATGAGTGTGAGTGAAAAAGATCTCTATGATAGAATGAAAAAAATTTGAAAACATAAATGTATATGTTTGCATAAATCATTTTTATTTAACTAAATGGTATATTTGGTACAGATGCAGAGAAAGAGAGAAAAGAAAGAGAGATGCTTGTTTAAATAATGGGAAAACTTGGGAAAGATTGCACCAAACTATTAACTATGGGGTAGGAAATAAGTTTATAAATTGGAGGATTTAAGAAGGGCCTTTAACTTATCTTGTGAATTTTTGGTCATTGATTATAGATGTTATTACTATTTTAAGTATTGTTTTAATGAAAAATTTTTTTCCTTAAAGAAAGTCCTTTCCCTTTCTTTATCTGCATTTCAATCTTTTATCCTTTTAATTGCCTCTTTTCTTACCAACCTGAAAGATGCCCAGTCTTGAAACCTTCCCTAGACCCTCCTCCTTCTTGGCTACCATGTGCTAATTTCTGTCACATTTCTTTTGTTCAAGATCTCAAAAGAAGTATCTACAGACTTTAGTAGATTATCTATTTCTCTGTTTTACTTTATTGATTTTTAATTCATGACTGCTTTGGGGGGAAAAAACTCTCAAACTGTGTTTTTCCCTTTGCTCTCATATAATAGTCATCAACACAGAATAAGATTTTTGACCAAATGTGGGGGTTTTCCCAGACATCAGCTGGGCATCCAAACCCCAGACACCAGCTGGGCATCCTCCAATTCAATTCCAACACTGTGTATATACCTAGAAATGGTGTCAGATCCCACTGATGAGGGCTTAATTCCACAAGACTGCTCCTCCATTCTTCCCCCTAGACATGAGTCACAAGTCTAGACCTCCAGAACTTCTGATCACCCAGCTTCAAGATGGGTTCCCATGACTCCTCTCTGGGTTCAATTAATTTGCTAGAGTAGTTCACAGATCCACTCTAGCAAACATTTACATGTACCAGTTTATATAGGACACAAATGAAGAGATGACTAGGGTGAGGTATGGGGAAAAGGCATGGAGCTACGCCCTCCTTGGGCTCACCACCACCCTCCAGGAATCACCATGTGTTCAGCTATCTGGCAACTCTATGAATCCTGTCCTTTGGGATTTTATGGTGGTTTCATTACATGGGCATAATTGGCAACAATGTAGAAATGTGATTGGACAGGAGGCACAGGATCAAAACCCAGCAAGGCTTGTCCAGACTTTTCTTGGCGTCTCTGTGCAGCATTCCCTTCTCTAGGGTTTGGGGCAAGACTCCCTGGAATGAGAAACTTTTGATCCAATCAGATTAGGTTCCTGCCGTAGGCAGGACAGGAGAAAATCAGAGAGAAAGTGATTCTATTTCCTGAGACCTAAAGCCTAAAGGGCCCCAACATTTTAAGAAAAGACTATAACAAGAGCTAAGGGAGTTATGAGCCAGGAACCATGAATGAAAGCCAATATGTAAATATATACCATAACACCGCAATTATACACTGGCTCCTGTGTAAATACTCTTCTGAAATGAAAATACTGACCCCAACTGATTTTTTTTCTAATTGCCAAATTAGAACTGTCTCCTTGACATCTGCAGTATTCAACAGCTTTGACAATCTTTTCCTAAGTATACAAGTGTTTGTTTTGTTTTTAGTGATGCTACACTTCCAATTTCTCTTACTTCTTCTCTGGTTCTTGGATAATTGACCCCGTTTTTTTCCAACCTAGAATATTATTATTGGTCAAGCCTTTGTTCTCTTTCTTTTTACATTCTTAATAGTATTCCTTAAAGTCCTTATCAGTTGTCACACCTATGCAAATAATTTTCAATACTGTATGCCTAGCCTATCTCTAAAGCCAGATTATACTTTTCCAGATGTTTGCTGGACAAACTACTAGTACGTCAAATCTCAAAAACAAATTAATTTTACCCCTCAAGTCAGCCCCATTCCACTTTTTTTTTTTTTCTTTTGGTCTCTTAGAAACCCAAATTTAAAATCATGGTATATTAGAAAAAGAAAAATTTAGAGTCAGATCAACCTCAATTCAAAGCCCAACCAACCCACTAAAGCCTGTATAACTTGGATTTGTACTTAATTTCTAGATTTTATGTTTTATAAAATAGAAACAATACCTACTTTCAAAGGTGGTTATGCACCGTGTCTGGTCTACTTTGCTTTTTCTGGCATCCACCTTCTCTGCCATCAAACATTCAGATAGTCTTTCTACCTCTTAAATTCTGCAATTGCAGTCAACTCTTTACATCTTCCTGCCTTCAATTTTTCCCACCGAGCCTAATACACCAATAGCCAACGCTTTCTTCTTTGTATACATCACCTGGCTGTCTAAAAACTCTCACCTTCCTTTTTTCTACAGCAACCTCCTTTTCCTTTAGCCTCCATGAGGCCCATCTGTGCAGCACTTGCCAACTAAGTGGCGTCCTCATTACACTATCTACACCCTCACTTGGGCAGCAAGGACAGTGTAAAACCAGAATTTCTCAAGGTGGGAGGACTAGCAGCATCTCTTTTAGAAATTTCAACAGGTACCCCTAAAGACAACACACATTGCTACCCTACTTTCATCTTGGGGTGGCTGAGAACCCTAACTTCAAAACTAAAGTCCCTTCACCTTCTCACCCCAACATTTTGCTTCACTCAGTTTTCCTGTTATTCCCCTTGGCAAACCTTCATTCTCTGTGAACAGCTCTTCACATTGTATTCCATGCTCACGATAATCCCCTACCTGGCATCCCCCCTACTTTCCACCCTAATTTACAAAGTCCTGTTTGTCCTCCAAATAGCAGCTCAAGCCCCTTTCTGCCATGAAAACTGTCCCAGTCATGCCAGGCTGGAATCATCTTCTCTCTGCAATTCATTTTCTTTAAGATACTTATTTTGCAAGTTTTCTTTTCAGCCCCATTAGATGGATTTTTCTTGAGGACAGGAACCATTACTTTTCTTTCTTGTATTTCCATCTCTTTCAATAAATATATGTTGAAAAAATAAAATGAACAAATTAATGACAAGCTCTAAGTCAATAAAAATTAAATGAAAGATAAGTACCTCACATAATTTATTTGATGTAATTTTTCATGTTTGCAGATTTTTAAAACCATAACTGTACATTAATTCTATTAGAATTGCTTATTACAAAATGAAGACCTGT